GGAGCACAGAGCCTTGACGTCGCCTGGCGAGGATGTTGTCTCGAGCACGATTTTGCCAACAGCGGCCTCGCCCCGCTCGTAGTCGCGTTGCGGAAACGCCGCGTTGGTCTGGGGCGTGATGACGTTCACCGAGATAACCTGCTTCGTGTAAGACAAGGTGATTGCATGTGCATCAGCTGCACCGTAAGCTTGGCATGAATCTCTTCGACTGCCAAGTACTCGAGGCCGCGGATGACAAGCAAGAGGTACTTCATCGCAAAGCACCAGTAAACTCCAACCCGCCAATCGCTGGCAACGGACGAAAATCTACATAAACGGCACATGATTGGTCTGTTTTAGCCAATCCGCACCGTCGGCAAGCGCTGCAACTGCCGCCACCATCTTGGCGCAGGTTGTGCGCTGTGGAACACGCATGTGCTTGCTTCCCAACAGGCCTTTCCTACTTTCGAATGCAATTCCGTGGAGAAAACACCATCAAGCTATACTGAATAGGCTGTGTATCGTCGAATCACTTTCGGTCACGGAAGCTCGTGGCGGCCGCGCAGAGACGCGCAACAAGTCCGTGGAGCTGGACAACCGTCGTGAGTCCATCGGCAATGCACATGTGCGATTGCCCAATGCACTTGACGAAGTCGAGCTTGAGTTTATCGTCCATGTCTGTGCTCTTGGCGACGCGAAAGACTGTGCCGATGATGTCGAGCGCAGAGTACCCAGTCTTCCATAATGCGATCATTTCCTTCTCGGCGACAGCTATGTCGCCGGCGACACACGCTTCGACGATGGACTTGACCGTCGTTGGGTGAGGCTGATCGCATACTTTGAAGACATTCGCGTCACTGATAAAGCCGAAGCCCGAGTGTGTCGCTTGACAATTGTTGAGCGCATTACGCATGTCGCCTTCCGCCGTGAAGATGAGGGCGGCCATACCGTCATCGCTGTAGCCAACTCCTTCCGCGTCGCATACTTGGACGAGGCGCTCGAGCAGCATTTCATCCTTGAGCCGCGTGTAGCGCAAGATGGCGCAGCGGCTCTGTATCGGCTCGATGATTTTGGTCGAGTTGTTGCACGCCAACGCGAAGCGCGTCGTTGCGCTAAAGACCTCCATCGTGCGGCGCAGTGCCTGTTGTGCAGCCGTCGTCATCGAGTCAGCTTCATCGAGGATCACGATCTTGTGGCGGTTGGGCGGCATCGTGACCTTTTGCATCGCAAACATCTTGATCTTGTTCCGGACCTACGGGGTGGAGCAAGCTGAAGATGCGTTCGCCCACGTGCGAATGCCTACCGTGTCGATGCCTCGGTCGTCTGAAGCATTCAGCTCAAGCACGGCGGTCTTCGTCAGCGTATCGCCAAGGAGGTCACGCGCGAGACACAGGATGGACGTGGTCTTGCCAATGCCCGGCGGGCCGCTGATGATGATGTTGGGCATGTTGCCCTCGCGCGCGATGACACGGAGTCGACTCACAGTCTCGCTGTTGCCCACAACCTGTGACAGCGTCGTTGGCCGGTACTTCTCGACCCACGGCGCTTCGAATGAGGTCGACATCTCGTGGCCGCTCAACTGTTTTTGTGGGCCGGCAGTGGCGCGAAGGATTTCGCCACGTTTCACTGGTCAAAAACATAGTATATTGCGCCAATCAAATCCAATATCTACGAGCAACTGGGCTGAGCAGCCTCATTTGTACCTCTACGGCAGCCAGCTCATGTCCTTCCGCGGTACGGTGACTTCGTGTACTAGGTCGCGCTGAAAGCCGTGGCCGTCCGATCCAGCTTGCACTTTCTCGGCCCCGATGCTCGACACTGCCTTCTCTGCGATGCGCAAGCCCGCGAAACGTACGACCTATCTTTTGGTGCGCTGCACATAGGTACGTCCGCGCGATCTGGCGCGCTTCTGCATCGCCGCGGGGCGTTTTGCAGAAGCGACTCCCGTCGTCGGTCGCTGGCTTTCTCTACGATGCTGTCGCCGCGCCGCAATCGGCCCATAAGTCGTCCATTTATGCCCTTTAGCGGAACCGACGCGCTTGCGACTGGTATTGTCGTTGGCTCCCACGCAACAACCATGTCTTTCGCACGGCATTGACACAACTCCCCGCTGATGCACTCGCGATCCGGGCAGCTACCATCGCACGACTGCACGTCCGGCACTTGGCCCGTCGCGCTGTGGTGCCATCTCGTGACGCGTCACTGGTCGCTTTCCGAGACGACCCTAGGTGTGCACGCTACCTGGTCCCTCGCACAGTTCCGAATCTCGACCACTAACGCTTCTCGCTCGACGTACCAGCCACGCCTCACGAGCGCATAACTTCTGCGCTCGGTGGACTTCCATATGTTACCAATGCGATGCGCTACCGGTGGTACAGAATCATTGAGCCTGCCATACCTATTCGATAGGAAAGCCCAGTAGCATGCATGAATAAAAATGCTATGCAATTAAAATGGGCGTTGCAATCCCGTCGTGTGTTGCGTTGTGGAACGCATGCTGTAAACACAGGATACAAAAAGACTTGGGTGAGCCCATAGATGTGCGGACCGTCGTTGATGAGCGAGATGTGAGGTTGAAAACGACATCGCCAGCTAGCGCGCCAGTTAAAATCAGTCAAAACCGTAGCCTGAATGCACTAGTCACGTAATGCCCGCACCATGAGTCGCGTTCCATTGCATAAACCGCGACGTCGGCAGAGGTAGCGCAGAAGCATGACAGTGGCGTTGACCTTGAGCTTGAGAGGGTAATGAGTGTCGCCAGCGATGTTGATGGAGTTAAGGAGCTCAACTGGGTAGTTAATAGCGGCTTCTTTTTGTAGCTGATCGTCGTCGTTTGCTGTTGCAACTTGTAGATCTTCGACGCTGTCGGCATACGTGCATACGCGCTGGTCAGACAACTGAGCTACCGGCACATGCACAAGTACCGTGGCGTTGACCGAAGCGACGACGTCGTTTTTGGCGCCAAAATGGCACGTTGAGCAAGTACACTGGCAGCTCATTGATGGGAATCGAAGGAAGCTCTGGGTACACGAAATTGAGCAAGTCGGTACGTGTATTCGGGAAGTCGTAGTCGATGACGATGTCTTCGGGTAGACAGACGTACTCGCCGCCTAAGCCGCCATGTACTGCCTGATCGTGGCCGCACGACGCGTTGCCAACGGCATGTAAAATGTTTGTAAACGGCGCATCGTGTCCAAGAACGCGCTTGTTGGTGAGGAGGTGGAAAGTAGACACGACAACCCAGGCATCGCTTCGCTTGAAGCAAGCTCCAACCAATTCTATGCGTGAAGCACGTGGAATGACAGGTAAAGTTTGCTAGATATCACCCGAGAAAAGAAAGGTCCTGCCGCCAAATCGTCGATGCGGCTCGGAGCAAATGTCCCGGGGCATGCAATCGACGGCGTCAATGGCGTCCTTGTGGATCATCGAGCACTCGTCCCAGACGAAGAGATCGGCCACGCGAGGCAACGCGTCGAGGTGGCTCTGTTTCCTCACGCGAGGATTGTGTCGGCGTTGACTACCAACGGAATCTTGAAGCGTGATTGAGCAGTGGTACCACCGTGAGGCGTGAGCGCAGCGAGGCCCGTATATGCAAGTGCAATCGCGATGCGTTCGTTAGATCGACACCATGCAAGCAGAAGATTGGACGCAATGCTCTTTCCAGAGCCCACGCTGAACAGAAAAAAATTGGCGTCTTTGTTGGCTTGGCGGCAGGTCAAGCTCGCGGCACACGGCATCGAAGACAGCGCGCTGCTGCGGGTTGGCGATAGGGAGGCCCTCCAGTGTTCTCTGTAGGTCCTCGCGGTCGTAGGACTTCTTGATCTAGAGCAGACGGTCGATAGTAGGATCCAAGACGTCAGCTTCCATGACCTCGCGATACGCATCGAGTTGAGGCAGAGTGGGATACGCACCGAGCAAGAAGTCCTGGCCGTGTGAGCGAAAGATCTCGTCGATGTCGCATAGCGCACGGGCCTCTGGCATCCTAGGGTCACCATTAGGCGGCAGTGCCGTCGCATAATCGTCGCCAAGATCTTGTGCGAACTCGTCCCACAACGCACGTGGAATCGAGGGGCTCACAACGACCAACAGCGTGACGAAGATGTCCCGAAGCTGGTGCGGCATGTGGCTCAACGAAGCGTCGAGCAGACAATTCATCATCAGATGCAAGGGCACGACATAATCACTTGAAGGTAGCGTGAACGACACCGTCAAACAGTGCGCAGATCTTTATACGACGTAGGACCGCGCAGATGACACAGACGCGTTTGTATGAAATTCTGCTCGTCTTCCTTTTGGAAAACGGTGTACATTCTGCTGAGAGCACGGTTTCCTTCACGCTTCCGACGTAACCAATGACCACCGTTTCTCGTTTGCACGTGTAGTAGTGACAAATCTCGCTGTAAAGTCGCGCTTTCGGTGACACGCTGCCGTCGTTGAGAATGCTCGCGAGACAAAGCGCAAAAAAGGCCGTGAGCGTCGTTGGTTGGTTGCTGAGAACTCGCGCGCCCATGCCGCCGTTGGTAGCGTCCGGCACAAAGCGCACTGCTTGCTTGCCCTCTCCTCGCGTACAGCAAACCGCACGATACTGTGCGAGGATCGCTTCATCGGGACTTCCATTATACGCATTGCAGCCTCGTGGACTGTGATGTAACGCCCCGCCCAGCTTGATCTCTTCGATAACGTCCCCGACGTGGTACGCACTGCGAGCGTAAGCCTTGTCTCCTATTGCTTAAAGTGAAAAGATCTAGGTACACCCTCCTCGGATCACCAAGCTCGGACCGACCGGAGGCGAAGCCGACGCGGCCCCACGAGCGAAGTGAGTGCGCGCACGCAGTGCGCAATGCATTGGGCTACGTAACGCATTAGTCTGCGCAGTCGTGCGGGCTCCGTAGGGTTGTCGGGGGCAGTTTTCCAACCGAGGTGGATATCCGGACATTGCCGGATAAATTATTTTAAATTGGTATAGTGAAAGCAAATATAATGACACCTGATAAAGGTTTTTCTGGGCTACGAGGCGTCACCTTGCTCACGACATGCCGTGAAGCGGCAAGACGAGCGGAGCGAGTCTACTTTGTGTGCGAAGCGCGCGAATGTGTTTGTAGGACGTATATATATGGCACAGATGGGCGTAGAAAGCTAGAATCTCGTGGGCTTGGCGGCCTTACCACCGGTGGGTCACCATGCCAATGACTCATCGCGCCTCAAGGCGCAAAGCGCGTGCTGCACTGTGACAGTTCCGGGCGGGCAATTGAAGTACACGGATTTTGTTAAGCGTTGGTTAGCTGAGTGCACTGGCTGGCGCTTTGGCGGGACGCTCTGGACGACGTTTTCTTCCTGTTCTTGGTAACTGGATGGGGCCGGTTATGGTTATCGGTATCTTGCTTTATATGATCGACCGTGTTCAAGAAATGGGTGTGATTGGTCAATACGTGGATGTGCGATGCTTTGATTGGGCGATGGATGGTAACCGGCTTACTGGCTGAGCAGTGTACCTCAACTTTCTAGCGGCCTGGTGGCTCAGTTCGGAATTTGCCTCCCCCTACACAGAACTAGATGTACGCAGGAAGCCCCGTTCAACTGATCGCCGTTGGGTGTTGCATCGCGCGCACCCTGCTATTGGTTAACAGTCTTCGAATGTACCCTGTCTGTCGTTGTTTATGTTGGTTTTGTGTGAAGACACCATCGCATTTTTTCTACTTCCTCGCAGTGTACACTGTTGCATGGCTGTCTTCTACTGCACCCTCCTTTTTTCACAGTTAGCCATATCTACGCATCGCACTGCGGGTTTGCAACGCACAAAAGCGTCGTACAGCATCCATCACCTTTTGCATGCCTCTGGACTCTGCCTTAACATATTGTAAAGTAGGTATGCGAACTTAGACGAATCAAAAGCGCATTGCGTGGATATCGCTAACTGTGAAAAAAGAAGGGTGCAGTAGAAGACAGCCATGCAACAGTGGACACTGCGAGGAATAAGACATAATGCGATGGTGTCTTCGCACAGAACAAATACACGAACAACGACTGACAGCGTACAAACGAAAACTGTGAACCGAAAGCAGTGTGCGCGATACACCACTCATCAGTGAAACCTACCTGCGAGCAAATACACCTGATATATGCAAGATATACATGCAAGCTACAGAAAAAGATAAAACGGCAACACAAAACGGCGATCAGTTGTACGGGGCTTCCTGCGTACATCTAGTTCTGTATAGGGAGAGGCAAATTCCTAAATGAGCCGCCAGCGCTCTGCTCAGCCAGTCAGCCGGTTACCATCCATCGCCGAATAAAAGCATCGCACATCGACGTATTGACCAATCACACCCATTTCTTGCACACGGTCGGTCATATGAAGCCGGATACCCATAACCTTATCCGGCACTGTCCAGTTATCAAGAACAGTAAGGATCCGTAGTCCAGAGCGTCCCGCCAATGCGCCAGCCAGTGCTCTCAGCAAACCAACGCTTAACGCAGTCCGTGTACTTTAATTGCCCCTCCGGAACTGTCACAGTGCAGCACACGCTTTGCGCTTTGTGGCGCGATAAGTCATTGACATAGTGATCCACTGGTGGTGAGGCCGCCAA